AAAATGTTCCAAGGATCATTAATATGTAACTCATGCAAAGAACCGATGCCCAATTGTCGAGAAATCCTGCCAATCAGTAACCACAGAGGGTGGAGGTAAGGAACCGATTTCACACTGATGAATGGCCGGTGAGTTTTGCCAGAGATAAATGAAGGGTAAATTTATCTCTGGGATCGAAATTGACCAGTTCTGTCAGATTTGTAATATTGACTGACACCAACATTGTCCTTTAAAGGGACAATAACACTCTTGCTGGCTTGACAGCTCCAGAAAATAAAAAATAGCCTTATTCTAAGTACTAGATATGTTAGTGTCCTACCTGTTGTGTAAATTATCCATTAAATCCTATTTTACTTGTCCAGAGGGTTCAAAAATATTTTTAAATCCAAGTAACATTTGAAAAGCTTTACGTCAGGCTTTTCAAATCATTTAGTTCAATTTTTAAATTTTTTTAAATTAGGTGTTTTAAGATGAAATTTGTATCATCAATTAATTGGAATACTGTAAAATAGTAAAATTTGTTGACCAGAATAATGATTGGGACATATTATTCAGTTACAACAAGAGTGGTATTGAGCCTTTAAACCCGCGTGTCCCTTTAACGTCCAATGATATCAAATGCATTGATTCGTGTCATTATATTTGGCAAGAATAAAAGTCAGTGTATAAAAAAACTATTGATTATTTTTGAGAATATTGATTCAAGTTGCGGAGTGTAAATAATTTGACCAGTTTTAATACGACTTGTTTAGCTAAACATAGACACATTTAGTTTATTTATAGAATCACGTACCGCCTAATACGGGCAAATTATCATTACATATCTCCTCACAAACACGGCATCCCTCGTTAAATTACTCTAGATTCTGTTTGAGAACAAAGTAAAGAATGGAGTTAAAATATCTCCAAGAAAATACGTCGGTCATTTCAAGACTAATATAGAGTAATTTATATTTACCGGGGTCACTTGTGCATTGGGAGGAATTTTGCTCGGATATCGGTGTTTTCGCCGACATTTCTTCGAAGGGTCAATTTTCGTGGAACCGGACCTTAACTAAAGGTTATTTCACGTGTCACAAATAAATGCAATATTTTCACAACTGGAAGACAATCTGATTCAGTAACTTTACAAATATACCGAAATTAAACAAATATAATGTCATATTTCGATTAACGAATACCGAAAAATAGTTTAAGATGTTGTACATCTCTATATTCTTTTAAAAAACAACTTAAAACACATTTATTTAATCAGGCTTTTAACTGACTCTGTATACAATCGTTAACATGCCCATAATCTTGTTGTTTATGTATGATTTACATTGTCACTTTGTAAAGTGCTCCTGAACATGTTATATGAAAGGGTGCACTATAAATATGCTGTAATAATAATAATAATAATAATAATATAGTTTCATCAGTCTGAATGATAGGGACTATATAACGTTAACCCAACGTCACAATTATTACCGTGACGTCATATTGCAAAAGGTGCGCGATACGTCATTATAATAACCAAGTTTGATACTCCGTGTTATTAAAACCGATCCAAAAATTGATTATTTGAATTATATCGAAATTCATTCTAATAATGGCTCAGAATATTCGAACGTTATCACTAGCACAAAAGACGGGTTCAACTGATTAATTTTGAATAATCGTACAACAGAATATGCCGGGACTTCGCCCCTTTAGGAAATCTAGGAGACTCCCCAAATATTATCGGTATATTACCTGCACTGCAATTTGTCTGCGATATCACCTCGGTGGAAGCGGACGTAAAATACAACTAACCCATCAATGCACTGCAATCAAAAGAAGTAATACGTCTTATTGTCCAACAGAAAGCCACCCGTCCAACACCACCTCGTAGCGCCGACACGGATGACATCTCCATGTATATACAAGAACATGTATAGAACAAACTCGGAAATAACTTGTCTGCGATATCACCCTTGGTGAAAGCGATCATTAAACTCCACAAACGTACGAACAATCTGGAATAAGATGTTTACCGTGTCTCAATCTTCCCTGGGAATACTGCCTCTACCATTGGCCTATCGTTCGTTCTATCTCTGTCTCAATCTTCCCTGGGAATACTGTCTCTACCATTGGCCTATCGTTCGTTTTATCTAGGTCTCAATCTACCCAGGGAATACTGTCTCTACTATGGGTCTATCGTTCGTTCGGTCAATGTCTTAATCTTTCCTGGGCATACTGGCTATGTATCAATCTTCCCTGGGTATACTGTCTCTACCATCGGCCTATCGTTCGTTCGATCCTTATTTTTCTCGTTTGGTTGACGTCTAGCTAACCTGTTCCAAAAAATAATCAGCATTCTTTTTTCTGAATGTCAAATCGTGTCTCGAGGTTGGCTTGAAAATACGTATGTGTAACTGAATAAATATAAACCAAACAATCTGATTAAAATACAGATCTATATTTCGTTTCGTTTTTTTATACTTTCGATGGCCTACGCTACATGAAGATCTGATCATTTGTACTGGGAGGTCGCGTCAGTGGTCATACAAGCGGCTTTTGACAGAATAATCAATCAGCGTTGACATTTCTAGTTGTTTACCCACAGTTCCGTGCATCAAACACCAAGAACTCGCCGTAACATTGGCTAATCCCTCACTCCATCCAAAACGCTAGTTATATATCAACTCTTCCAGATCCGAGTGTAGTAAAGACAAGTAAAACGAAATTTTGAACTATAAAAAACGAAACGGAATAGGATCTGTGTTTTAATCAGATTGTTAACCCAAAGTAAAAAGATATTGGAAAAAATGATCTTTCACTAAGACATGTTTTTCTTTTAGCTCGTCGGAACGGAAATCTTCTAAATAAACATTCATTAATATTACATACATATAGTGTATCGTGTATACATCTTTTAAACCTATAACATACACGTGTAAATACTGTGTATTATAAAGTGATGTGTATTGTTATATGTATTGAGGTAATACACATTAAATACGTCGTGTTCCCTGTGTATTCCCTTATACAGAGAGAGAGAGAGAGAGAGAGAGAGAGAGAGAGAGAGAGATGGGGTTTAACGTCCACTCGACACAAACTAGGTCATTTCGGGACTAACATATGGTTTAATTTTATTTCAATAATTCGCTTGCGCGTAGGGGTCTTTAGCAGTGGGAGGAAACCGGAGGACCCGGAGAAAACCCACGAGATTGGTCAGGCGATCCTACTCCTTGTCACGTACAACCGGGGATTCGAAACCACGCGAGTTGACTCAATGACAGGCCTTATGATACAGCGCGCACGTGCTAACCCCCCATACATCTACAGAGTTGTATGTGAATTGTAAAAAAGGTAACTTTTTTTTTAAGTTTATACGATTTAGCTTTTTGTGGAATTAGACGCTATGGGGCTGTTTAACGAGGTAGATCGTGTTTACGACCATCGATGTTTCAGCAACAGAGGTTAAATAGGCACCAACTCAAGTGCACATACCCTTGTCAGTGATGCAGGACGGAGGGGCTAACAAGGAAAGCTGTCTAGTCGTTCGGATGGGACGAAAAACCGAGGTCCCGTGTACACATTGGCGTGCACGTTAAAGATCCCTTGGCAGTTGGAATTCGATATAAGAGTAGGCCGTAGTGCCGCTGTCCGGGCAAAATTTCCCTCATAGCACACTGTATGGCGTATGCCCGTCTTCATTAGCCCAGGTTAGGAGCAGAACAGTAGGACGCTAAACTCCATTTCATTTCATTTCATTTCAAGTGCACATACGAGCTAACTTATTAGTGGTACGGTTAGGGTAAAAATCCACTGTGGTCGAATCATCGTACATTTGATTAACACGCACAAGATTTTATACAGTTATCATCAGAAATAAATAAAAATACCTAAACAACATATGACGTTGCAAACTGGGTTAGGAGACGTAACGCGCACCTGTCGAAATGTGATGTCACTGTGACATTTGTGAAGTGCTCCACATGAATTAACTGTGTCTGGTGCCATTTCTGAATACTTCTAAAAAAAAAACAAAAACAAAACCCCACAGCAAAGTCAACTAATGAGTCCAATTACAGGTTCCGTTAAAACAATTTGTGACATCCTTGTTTCTGTTTCATATGTTCACATATAGTCTGTGTCAGTGGCGTAGCTACAATTTCTTACCTATAAAAGCACCCCACCCCCACCGATATTCCCTCCCTCATATATCAGCTTCTGTATGTAGGGCCTAGCTATTATGAAACATGATTTATTTCTATTCTCAATCTTCTGTCAAACATGTTTTATCATTTAAAGATATATGTAGTGGGATTTCTCTAGACATGTATGAACATATTTAGCGTTAATAATTAATTACATGTACACGTCGAGCGACAAATTGCTATGACAGGCATGTTTTTACTGGATGATAATGTTCTCTTTTTTTTTTGTGCTTTGTTGCTTTGATATATTTCTGCGTTACATCAAATGCACAGGCTAAAATCTTAAAAAATAAATAACTTATATATTACTTTTTAGTACTTTTGTAGAAAAACTATTTCGTACCATGACATAAATAATTCTCATGATGAGTTCTTGTCTCTATCTGTTCTTGTTTCAGAATATTTAATGCGGCAATCTTTTGGAAATTATTCCGAAAAGATAAATTTTCAATTATTAATAGGGAACTGCGATGTATTATTATTCGAAATAAATTTAACAGTCGTCATAATGCCGTAGATTGGTCGTTATGGCAACGCGATCGATCGCTATTTTGATATTTTCATGAAAAAAAGATTTCCGAAAAATCATGCTATTTGCGGAATCTTGAACTTAACGGAACCAAAATAGATAGCTAAGTCTCGGTTCTATGTCTAGAAATGATGAATGAATGATTTTCGACATGTCAGCCAGTGTATATTATTATTAATATCTCGGATAAACAATTGAGCTTATTATGGCCCATACTTCATTTATTATGTCCTAGAATGCATTTCACATTATAATGAACAAGGCGTCGCTTTCCTAATCTGCGCATGCGTCAACTATCCGGGGGTTACCGCTACTGTTTGCAAGGGCACCGCACCCAAGATTGTCGACCAAAAATTGTAGCGATATATGCCGTGAAAAAGGGGGAAAATTTGGGTCTTTATGACTATTTTGGCGGATATTGTTCATATTCAATTTTCATAGGGTGAGTATATTTCATGTGTGTGGTTTTTCCGTGCTTTTATGATGCATAAATCGTGAAAATCGGCGTGTTAGTCGAGCTAGACGAACAGTCATGTCGGATGGCTCTATGCAAATTGTCGTTATGAGGCCAAAATAATATGTCTTTTCTTCAGTTCCTGTTATCACGAGAATAACGTCGACACTTTCTTTGACCAGAAGAATATCTCCTGCTGTCGTTTAGGTAGGCGTTTCGCTCGTTTTGCAGTGTAAAGTCTTTTCTTTTTGTGTTTATCGAAGCGTTCCGCATAATGATTTTACTACACGACCATAACGGTGATGTATGAAATATGGCTGGCTACAATGTTGCAGACGTTGTCAACAATGTTGTGTATTTCACGGTCTGTTGTGATATCAATTGGAATAATGTGTTTAGATGTATTTAATGCATCGTTTTAGACCCGGATATTAATAAAAACCTCAGAATAAACGTGAAACACGATTCTCAAATTCTCACAGAATCATCAAAGATGGCGAAGAAACCGGCATTGGTCGTATCGATTATGCAGAAATACACGGTCGCCATTTTAAAAGCTGAAAGACTGCAAAATTACATTGCAGGATCCATGGCTTTTTTACGCGAATCTGCAACATTGTATACAGTTTATCCCGCCTTTTTGTGAACCGAATAAAAAACAAATTCGTGAAGAGGGATATGCACCATTGTTTTGACAGTTTTGACCCAGATTTTAGACGTCAAATGGATTTCAATCCAATGAACCTGATGTCTGATAATGGATGGAAGACTACAGAAAGGGCTGACTCATAAACCGATTTCACATTTTATGTGATTATTTGTGTGGCTTTATGAAAATATTAGATTACCACCAGTTGTTGTTTGTTAATAATCAAATTTTTGTGACTGGAGCAATTAATCACAGCTGTGAGATTCTCATTATCAAAGCCCATTGTCTGAGGGACCTTTGTCTAATTGAAGAAATTTAAGGCTTATAATGAGGCACAGAAGTCCCTAAATTATGTAATCTCTCTTACTGTACAAAATAAAACAGTTTTTGCCATCGAATATCCCACAACGATCTGAGAAATGTTCCCATTTCAGTAATGATATATTTTGAAACATTTTTTGGGGAAACTTGACTCCCTTTTTTGTGAGGATATTTTTGAAGTGACTCGTACCTTCATCAAATTGTAGAACGGGGTTCCTGAGAAAATGTACTTAGTATCTTCGTCTTAGAATGGAGTTATTTTAGGAAAAACAATTATGAAATCATACAGAAGCCAGATATAAATTTAATTCTTTCTTCAATACTATCCAGGAAGACATGATATGCCTATTTTTACACCTGCTGTAAATTAATTGTGTTTGATGTTGGTTGTGATGAAATATAGAATAATAATTGTATCTTTTTCTATTGCAGATTTTTTTATTTCTAGAAAATAACCATGAGTAGTGAACTAGAAGCCCTCCGCCAGGAAACGGAACAGTTAAAAAACCAAATCAGGGTAAGAATGTTGTAACAGTAAAACAAAATTTCCCCGTTATTCAGAGCCAGCCTCTAGAAAATCCACTGGGAATCATCCATCATGCTTGTTAAATATAGTTCGCGTCATTACTAGTGACTAAAGACCAAGCTTTCTGGATCTATACTAGAGGCTTGTTATTATTTATCACAGGCGCGTTGGTCACTTTCAGCCATATACGAATGATGACATAATTTTGTGACCAGTTCGACAAAAAGTTCTGTCTGTCCAAACAAATATTTTATGAACAATTCTTTTTTTCCTTGGAGTTCAGTGCATGGTTATCACACAGTTTTAAATACAGAGTGTGGAGTCACCAATTTCTGCCCTGTTGGTATGAACACAGATCAGAACGCTTGTTCTACTGTGGATGTGAATTTCTAGAGGCAAGCTCTGAATAATAAATTTTCTGTATATATGGTCAGGTTTTCCCTATACATCATACTTCATGTTCTGAAATGTATTCTGAATATTGTAACCAATGTTCGTCTCATCTTCCGGTACATGTACAAAAATAAGGGATCACGTGGGTAAGTGGGTAAGACGCTGGCTCGCTAGCCTGGAGGTCGGGTATTCAATCCCTGCATTGCCCGAGAAAGTTCATCCAGATTTTCCAGCGTGGTTTTCCCTTGTCAGTGATGCAGGACAAAGGGTCTGACAAGGACAGCTGTCTAGTCGTTCGGATGGGACGAAAAAAGGAGGTCCCATGTACACATTGGCTTGCACGTAAAAGATCCCTTGGCAGTTGGAATTCGATATAAGAGTAGGCCGTATTGCCGCTGCCTGGGCAAAATTTCCCTCATAGCACACTGTATAGCGTATGCCTGTCTTCATTAGCCCAATTTAGGAGCAAAACAGTAGGACGTTAAACCCCATTTCATTTCATTTCTATGGCCTAAACATCTGGGACTTTTTAACTTTTAGTCATTTGGATGAGACAAAAACTGAGGTCCCATGTATACATACATTGGCGTGCACGTAAAAAAATCCCTTGGCAGTTAGAATTTGCTATAATAGTAGGCCATAGTGTTGCTGTCCTGGCAAAATGTCCCTCATAGCACACTGTACGGTGTATGCCCATCTTTATTAGCCCATTAGTAGCAGAACAGTAGGATGTTAAACTTCATTCATTTTAAGTTTCAGGATAATGTTAAAACATGCATTTTAATTACCAAATTTGTAGCCAACAGAATTGATATATCTATATATTTATCCGGATATAAATATAATCTGTTGTAATTCAGGAAGTGAGTGCACATCACTCCCCATATTATTGGATTGTGTGCTACCACACACCAATTTCTAGCCCACAGAACGAATATTTCAGTGTATTCACAAATAAGTCCATCTGGTTTTACAGTCAAAACTTTCATGTTGTAATTCCACTTCAATTATGCACTACCAGAAAGCACAAATAAAATTGTATTGCAAGAAGTGAGTGCATATCACTCCCCATATTGCTGAATTATACACTTTCAGAAAGGTGAATAAAATTGTAATGCAGGATTAGGAAGTGAGTGCATATCACTTCCCATAATTATTGAATTATGCTTTACCAGAAAGTGTGATTAAAATTCGTGATGTAATGATAAATATACATGTAGTGCAATGCAGTGAGACATATATTTACTTTTATGAGCATGGATATTGATTTTCCACGTTAACACGAACCCCAACTTTTTCAGTAGGTTATGTTGTAAATAAAATTCCCAGGCCACATCAGAAATGCCTGGAGGCTCTTGATGTAATAACCTTGGTTAATGTTTTGTTGGATTGAATATGAAACTTGATTGAAAAATATGAGAAATCACCAATTAATTGTCACACAAATATCTGTTTGGTTGTTAAATATGAAATTTGATTAAAAACAAAATGAAATGAATAACAAATTTATTCTCACACAAATATTCAAATAGCATTAAAGGAGCTAAATCTCATTTTTTGACACATAAAAATGGACACAAATGGGTCACAACACATATAATAATGTAATGTGAATGTATATAACCTTATTTACCTTCAATCTTTTCTGTTTTTACTGTAATTTCTAATCAGTAATGTTTGGCAAAATGTGGAAAGAGTCCAAATTGAATGACAGTCTTTGGGGGTCGGGTTATTCCAGTCTACACTGGTGGTATTCTCCTGTGGGATGTGTTTAGCATCGTTTACAGAGTTGCTCAATTACAAATGTCGTTAAAAAAAATTCTGGCATGCAATGCATGTGCCAATTTTAAAACTTTCATTTTGTCTTAAATATTGGATCAGAAGCCCATCTTTTCACGGTAAGATAACATCAATGTTGATAAAATTGACCAATAAGTTGTGTTTGCAATGTCGAAAACTGTGGATGATATTGAGTTAAAGACATGCCTCCTTTGATGAAAATTAAAATTACCTATTGTAAGTCTACGTGTATGTTGAAGACAAGGAATTTGCTGTTTTTTGTTTATTTAATGGAGATCCGCTAATATACAAAAAGATAGAGAAATGGAGTTTAACACGCACACAACACTAGGTCACAAACTATCTGATTAAAACACATATCCTATTTCGTTTCGTTTTTTTTTTTATAGTTCAAAATTTCGTTTAACTTGTCTTTACTAAACTAGGAACTGGAAGAGTTGTTATCATTGACGTGTTCTGGATGATGTGAGGGATTGATTAGCCAATGATACGGTTTGTTACGGTGAGCTTTGGGTGTGAACTGCATGGAACTGTGGGCAATCCACTAGAAACATCAATGCTGATTGGTTAATCATACATGTATATCTGATGTCATAGGGTCAAGCACCGCTCGTATGAGCTCTGACGAGACCTCCCAAAACAACTGGTCAGATCTTGTAGTGTAGGGAAATGAAACGAAATATAGATCTGTATTTTAAACAGATTGGGTCAAAAAGAGATGTATGAATCCAAACCGATCCAAAAACTGGCTGTTTCCATGAAATCAAATGTTCAAATAGTATTGGAATAATGTCTTATAATATTGAGATGTGACCAATAGCAAATTGACTTAAAAATTATATCCAAAACTTATTTACTTTATTGTCTCTTGCTTTTTCGAGGGATGCAGGAAACTATTGAAATAGGTTTGTTCGTACGTCCATCCGTCCATCACACCGTGTTGAAAAGAATAACTCTTCTTCTAATTCATAGGTATATTATGTTAAAACTTAGTGTAGATGTTGTTTATTCGGTGAATGTAGTGTTTAAAAATAAAAAAAAGTGAAATATACAAGTAATTGTACTCATGTGAATATTAATTTAAAATCCATGAGTATTACAGAAGTGTTATGCTCATAATGTTTGTATTTCATTCTTGAATAGCTTGTTGATAGAATACACAATTAAACACTAATATAAAAGATAAATCGAATGCACAATACAACAGCAGTATATAGATTATAATGCACAATTCAACAGCAATATTGTAATACAACAGCAATATAGATTGTAATACAACAGCAATATAGATTGTAATACAACAGCAATATAGATTGTAATCCAACAGCAATATGGATTGGAATACAACAGCAATATAGATTGGAATACAACAATTCAACAGCAATATTGTAATAAAACAGCAATATGGATTGTAATACACAATTGAACAGCAATATTGTAATACTACAGCAATATGGATTGTAATACACAATTGAACAGCAATATTGTAATACAACAGCAATATGGGTTATATAATACACAATTCAACAGCACTATTGATTGTAATACAACAGCAATATGTAGATGGTAATACAACAGCAATATAGATTATAATACAACAATTCAACAGCAATGTTGTAATACAACAGCAATATGGATTGTAATACACAATTCAACAGCAATATAAATTGTAATACAACATCAATATATATTGTAATGCACAATTCAACAGCAATATTGATTGTAATGCACACTTCTACAGCAATAAAGTTTGTAATGGACAGCAATAATAGAGATTTTAACATACATTATGGACTGTGTTGAAAGAGCAAGATCTAAATACATGTAGAAGTTACGAAAATGGTTAAGGGGTTATGGCCTCTAACATTACTTGGTAATCATAAAAAATAATGAGGAGTAACATTGCCTTCCTAACCTCAGTTCCTCCCACTGGAGGGGAGAGCAATAGTTTGTAGGTTCTGACTTTAATAAAGATATATTTCAAAGAGAATCTACATGTATAGTCGATTGACATACCGATCGGGTCAATGATCTAAAATTTATTCCTCCCCATTGAATGGTCGTATTTTATTCATGAATGAAACAAATATCTCCCTTTATGCTTGTCTTGCTTAATTACCATATTATTCTAGAGAATACTGTACTTATAAATAGTATATTGGTAATTATACTAGTGTAGTCATAGCTACTCTATTAATGGGTATAATATCAGTCTCATATACAACCTTTATACCATACTCCTGTATATACATGTATGGTATATAATATATAGATAGGGCATTATTGTTATACCATAGCTACACTATTAATGAGTATAATATCAGTCTTATATACAACCTTTATACCATACTCCTGTATATACATGTATGGTATATGATATATAGATAGGGCATTATTGTTAGCTATACCATAGCAGTGGGTACATGTATATATATTACAAGATTTTAAATTACACTGTTAACTTTTAGCCCAGAAGGTGGGGTTGGGTCGTTTAGTGGTTTAACGCATGCACATTAAATGACAAGGTCTGTCATTTGGTCGTCTTCATTAGCCCTGTTCGGAGCAGAACAGTAGGACGTTAAACCCCATTTCATTTCATTTCATTTCTATCATTTGGTCAAGGGGCATGGTTTAGATTTCCCGCTTATATAAGACCCCTACCCACAAGTATATTATTGAAATAAAATTGAACCATATGTTATTCCCGGAATGATCTAGTTTATGTCAAGTGGATGTTAAACTCTTATCTGTCTCTCTCTCATGAGCTTCTTAAACAAAGCAGGGAGCCACTGTGGCTA